CCATCAGTGCCGACCCAACTACACCACCACGCGCATGCCTCGCGGCGGATATGCGCAGCAGCAAGAAGGTTTCGGTCATCCCTTGAGGGTGAGTCTAGCCCTGCTCGCCAGAAAGACCCCCCCCTTCACTACAACCCATGTCTAAGCAAAAGCTTGTCGAGGAGCGAGGGGAAGAAGGAAGATGCAAGTATGTATTGCAGCACAATAGCAGCAGTGGTTGCGACCTTCAAATCACCTTGTGTCGTAATTTAGGTTTCAAACAACACCTCTTGTGGTCGCCTTTCTGCTGCGAATGCGCACCTTTTGACATATGTTTCGCCTTCATTGGCCCCGGGGGTGGTGCGTTAGTGGCCCCGGAATTTTAAAGACACTTCCCCGCGTTAAAGACACTATTTTTGGGGGAAAACGTGGTGTGTCTTTAAAGCGGGGTCGACTGTACGAGACATCCTTGTCAAGAGAGGAAGAGTTGTGAAGCCTCTCTCTGACCGATACATGTACAAGCACTAGATAGAGAAATTTCGGTATTCCAGCGATGTCTCCCCTCATGGACAACAGGCTCCACAACACAGAGTTTGGTGACCATCTTATGCCTCGCATTTCAAGTTGTGCTTTTCTGTTATAGTTCTCGAATGAGCGGCATCCAAACGGTCGTGTGAACAAGAACATGCTGGTGCTCTTTTGGTCGTGGCCCTGATAAGAAGGAGGTCGACGGAATGTTTGTCCACCACCGTGTATATATTTTTGTTTGTCTCCCATCATTGGACTCTGTCGTCTGCCCCTCTGGCCCCTATCCTCCACTTCTACCAGCTAGACGACCCAACCGGGGTCACATAGGAGGTGGGGGCTGGACCTCCTCCTGCGGTTCCTGCCTGAGATATTTTTATCGCGAGAAGGGTACACCAATCCCTTCCCTCGCGAGTGATGATCTGTGATGTCGGAGCCAAGACTGCTCACCATGGATACTCTTGTGTTAGGCTTCGCCACCAACCGGCCTCCACCCGGTTGCTTTATCTTGCAACGATTTGACACCGAACGATCTTGTTGACCCTGGTACCCAGCGGGGAGATACCATCCATATCGCTGTATGCTGCACGGGTAACCGTAGAAGCATAGGTACTTCGCTAACGCTACGGATTCATTACTTCTATCCCGAACAGACTCTTATGTCTATCTGTGGAAGAGATGGAGGTGTGTTCTTGCAAGTACCAAAAATAACAACATCGATTCTCTTTCGATAATGCTAGGTTTTCAACTTCGGATTGTCTCTCAAGTCTGGTGTGGTTTGTAAGACAAGTATCCAAACGGAAAGCGGTACTGTGCTGCAACACAAGATACGATCCACTGTCGAAAATGCAAGCGAAGTTCGCAACTTCGGGCTGTCTCTCAAGCCTGGTTTGTAAGCACAGGTATCCAACGGACTGCGGTACTTTGCTGCATGCACGAGATGGGGCGGCGGGTAGCTCGAGTTCCTTCCATAACCCCGCTTTTGTACCCCCCGGCTTTGCTGCGGGGAAAGCCCCAACCACACCACGATGGATCGAGGAAAAGCATGCAGTTAGTTGGACCAGTCCGGATACAATAGAAGGTACTGAGCGGAGACCGGAAAGATTTTTAATGTGAAGCTGACAACAACAATGCAGCAGCCCATGCACGCACCCTTGTCCCCTGCCCCCCTCCCCGGCCCCGACTCGCCCCTCCCCCCCCAACAACGTCAATGATACTGGCAAAAGAAGGTAGTACAGTACCTGGGATACTCTGTTCGCCAGAGAATGAGCACCGCGCTGGGTGAGACCTTATGTGGTTCCATGTGGCAGATCTACGAGAGTGACGTCAAGAACGAGAGCAGCTCGGTGGATTTCAGGACTGACCGACTCGTTCCCACCCGCCCACCACCCCCTGTTTTCTCTTGCACTTGGTGTTTTAGCGCGATGCTAGCTCACCCGTGGAGAGTACTCAACCCGGAGGAAGCTGACCTGTTCTACGTGCCCATGTATCCGGTGCTGAGCATGAAGCTGGGCAGCAACAGGTCAGAGTGTAGTGAGTCTTGTGGTATCTAGTTTGTCTCCCGTTTTCCATGTCTTGTGTGTCATCTGCGCGAGAAGTGTCATCCAGTCAACGCAGGTTTTTCGAAGTAAGCAAACATATTGGATATAGTACAGAATCGGCTAGGTTGAGGTTAGGATCTACCTGCCCCCTCCCTGATCATTTTTCGCAATAGACATACTTTCTTTGCGTAGACGGTCCCGCACTACCTAGGTACCTTGCCCCCCGCCGAGAGCCAAACATTTTTTGTTCCGGCAATTTTGCAACGCTCTTGGGGCGGGCTTAAAGCCCGCTTCGCACAAGCCGCTTATGGGGGACGACGCATGTTGTGCTAATACTAGTCTAGTGTCATAGCGAGAACGTTTCACGCATGCTTTGAGCGGGACAGGTGCTGTCGGTGCAAACTTATCCGTTTGTGTGTAATCATTGCTTGCTTGAGGGTACCGATGTCCTTCCCCGATGTTTTCGCTTTACTCTTTCATGGCAGTTCCGTTTGGAGGGGGAGAGAGCCCCCGCCCTCCCAGTGTCCGTTTTGTCCCGCTTTCGTTTTCGGAAAGCCCTCAACGACAAATATCTAACGCCGCCGCTTCGGCACTATCATGCCGATCATCCTAGTGCATATTTCGTAGTAGTGCAGCTTTGAAAATCGGTCCCTGGGGGTGGGGGGGGGGGGGGGGGGTTTT